GTCTGTGGTCATTGTCATATGATTGTTATTATATTTGATATTTTTTTATAATATTATTAAATTATTATGTTCGATATCCAATAGATTGTTTAGTAATATTACTAAACCTGTATTGTAATACGATGTAAATTAGTCTGATTTTGGCCGGGTTTGTGAATAATTCATCAAGTGTGAGTGTCGGAGTGCAGTAAGTGTTGGAGTAAGTTCCCTAAACCCTGCTGTGGCGGTCAGCTTGTCGCCAACTGATTTGAATACTCGGTTACAATCCTGAATAACTAAACTTTAAAACCAGCTCACGTTATATTGAAGAAATTATACTAATTTTAATCAATAATTTAAGTACGTTTAAATAAATAAATATATGTTAGTATATGAAAAACTATTTGTAATTTATTTCTTGTGATAATATCTAATTGAATTGTAAAGATTATTTAGACATCACTGATTCATGCATTCCCAAAGAGGGTTGATGTTAGGCAGGCGGCCGGTCGTAAAAACAATTTAGCCAAAACTATTCACAACATGTAAGGCAGACCCTGGCTAAAGCTGGAAAATTGCCAGGTAGAAGAAGAATAATTGAATTATAATGAAGTACCTCATTTAATGTAGTGTCTGTAATATTACACGATATTCATCATGAAAAAATTGTGTTTTCAAAACTTAAATATCATTTGGGTCAACAGTTCAACGTGGCCGGTGAATCGCTGAGAGGCCTGTTTGCATAACGCATACCAGATACACGAAAAAATACATTTAAAATATGTAACTTACATTTAAAATAATAAACATTTCTATAATGCTTATGAAATATGGAAATTTATTTCAAGTTATATTTGCATTAGTCATCAATCTTTTCATATGAAACTAAATAAAAATGTCACGAGGAATTTAACGGTAAACTCTGTAGTAATCCCAGGAGTAGTTTAACTTGAAACCATTAATTAGCTGACAGTCCTCTTAATTGCTTAAACAAGACGAATCGGATACTTGATCCGGATATAAAAAATGTCCACTGCACTACTTAAAGCACTTTAATTAAGATCAAAAAGGAAATAACTTGCGTAATCAAATTTATCTAGGCACTGTTGCAGAGAAGTTTTCAATCAAATTGTTTTAAAGCGCCTAATAGGGTAAGGTTTTATATTGATAAATATGTACAAAGTTAGAAATTTTGTATTATAAGCAACCCTCTTTCCTTTATTTAAGTACCACTCATTAATTATTTTTTAAAAGATGAAAAGATCTGTAGTCTTGTATGGAGTGTCTATTCCTCGTAAATTCGGTATCGTGAGTCATTTATAATCACATTGTTAGATTCTGTGAGGTATCAATCATTATTGTGTATTAGTATCACACTAAAATCCTATTAATTTAGTTATTTAATTTATAGTTACTATTTTTTTCAAGTTATTTATTCTTGCGTACCTAAAAGTATGTATTACAATGCATTGACACATAGACTTTTAATTTGGAGATGTTTTAACGAGTCATATGAAAGGAAAGCCATGACAAAGAAATAAAAGACTTTCAAATAACTGTTTATATATATTGCGTATGTTGAAAAGACAGCAATAAACTTTGATATGTGTTCACGTTAAAACTGTGAATGATACGTCATTGAGGAATATTCTAGATAAAAAATAAACAAATTCTCAATGGATTTTGAAGCTTCGGATGTCGTGTTAAGGCGTTGTTCACCTCGAAATTGTGACCCAAAAACGAAATAAGCTCTGCCTCAAATCTTGCTGAAATAGGTCGCCATTTATTCTTGGGTTCCGTGAATGCGACTTATTTCCTAACAATGAATTTGATTCGGAATCTGTATTCCACTGTTGTAGACTACTATCAATTAAATGATTACTAATTTTGTCTGCTTTTATTTTCATCGTATATATTGTAGCAACTTAAAAATAGTGACAATTTTTTAAGCCGATCGAACAGCTTATTTCATAAGTAGGTTACGCTTGTGATTTTAATTTTAAACGAATTTATAAAATTACAAATATGTACTAAAAGTTGTCAAGGTGAAATTTCTTAATTAGTGTATTTTAGCTTGCTTGACAAGAATTATCAATTTATTAAATTTACTTTTTCAAGTATAGTAGCATTATTGATAAATATTTTGCAAAATTGATAAAAATTTTACAAAGACGTTAAACGAAGTAGTATTGAAATTTTAATATAGCTTGTATATTTTAATTATAAAATATAGAATGACAAATTTCATTGACACGATCAGTATTTGAAGCTCTGGTATGTTTAACAATATAGCTATATTGATCGACAGCCCAATGACGAGATAGCTTAAATGGTAAAGCAACTGGAAAATAATATATATCAGGTAGTAAAGCAACTGGAAAACAAAATATATCAGACGGTAAAGCAACTGGAAAACAATGTATCTACAATTTTTAACTCGAATTCTCCTGTAATCAATGATATTTTCATTCAATATTTTTTTAAATATCAATTAAGTATTGAATGTAATAGTAAAAATATAAGTATATGAGTTTTACATAATATATTTATTATTCATTGACCTTGCACGAGCTGAATTATTTAATCTTTAATTGCTATAAATATAGTTTAGTTTTTGAAAAGAAAAGTAAGACAATCTTAAAGATTCCATCGGATATATTTAAGTACTCAAATAAAATGAAATTTTTTAGCAATATAGCTTGTTTTCGGATATGTCAAAGTATTTAAACAATTTAGACGTAAATTCAATCAGTCTTAGAAATAAAACATCAACTTTAACTCATGAAATAAATGCTCTGAAAGATAATAAAGCCCGGTGTCTTTTAGAGCGTCAGTTTCTTACGTCTTGAAAGAAAATACTCTCATCAAACGACGCTCATACATTGTTGCTCGTAAAACATTGGGAGGGAGAGGCATTAAGTTAAGTGAAAATTAAATAGAATACAGCCTACAGGCGGAACAATGAAAGAGACGTGACGAACTTATGTTAGGCGACATGTACGTGTTTTAATTCAAACTATAACAAATATGTAATATATTAAAATGTTTTAATAATTAGAAGCATTGAACTTAATTGGCATAAATTTTTCTGACATATACAGAGACGAAACCTCTTAGCCTTCGATGGATTCACCGTGCGGGTGCCGGGTCCATTGTTTATATATACTTATATACGTATGAAAGAAAGTCGTGTTAGTTACACTATTTATAACTTAAGAGCGGCTGTACGGATATGGTTGAAAATTTGTGGGAAGATAGCTTAGAACCAGGAGACGGACATAGGATATTTAATTCTGTTCGATTGAAACAGAAAAAAAACTTAATAAATTCCAATATTTAGGTATTTACGGCCTCTAGGGCATAATAGAGTCGCCCGGTCAACTATACATATATTACCAAAGCGATTAACGCGGACGAAGTCGCGGGCAAAAAGTAGTTTTTAATCAAATAAGTAAATTATTTGTTTAAATGGATTTATGTATAAGAAAAGCCTTCATTAATCATAAGTTTTCCAATATTGCACATAACGTGATGCTTGTAATTTTACTTGCGGATCATGTGTACAGCATCTTATAAAGCAATGTTATTAGTGCTTTAAAAGTATTGCTATGTTTTAATATTTAAATAATACTTATAAATCTTTAACTGGAAGCATCATAAGTCAGATTTCTCAAGTATTATCATGAATGGAATGAATGATACATATGTCATATTCGAATGATAACTCAGGAAGATCGCTTCGACGTTTTCAAAGAGTAAATAATGTGAACGAATGGTTAGCGGAAGAATGAGTAATGTATGATTTTTAGGGAAACGACTTCTATTCTGACATTTGACAAATGTTAGGATTCTGTGATATGTCATTTTCTTTTAACGTTCGGAAAGAATACATGGCGACATTACGTTTAGAAATATTTGTTGAAAGTGATTAATATAACAAAATTTAAGTTACTGAAATAAGGTAGAATTAAAAAGTATATAATTAAAAAAATTAAACTAATATTTTAAGATTACTACGCGTACCTTTTATTTAATAAACACTACTTACTTCCGACGTTTCGGTTGAATTCACACATAAATGAAATACGCGTATTAAACCGTAAATATTAGGTTCATTTAAATGAATACTCGCGAAAGTTTTATATCTCTTTAAGTATATAATCAATAATAAATTTGATTTCACATTATATGTATGAAGTCAGAGAACTACTATATATTGATTTCAAGTAAGAATAATATTGGCACAGAGTGCTTCAATAAAGCCAAACAAACCTCAACCAGCCAGGGATTTCCTATCGTATGTCACTTAAAAAGCTTAGTTTACCGAGCAGTTTACTTTCATTCAATATACGAATCAATTCCAATAGCCATAAAGACGAAAATTCTCTGATAGATAAATGAATTGATGTATAAACTACAAGCTTAATTGTAACTGCTCCTATATGTATAGGAAATTAACAGAGCATAATTATTGAATATATCTATGTATCAGATATAGCTGAAGCCATTACGCAGCTATCTGTTGGAAGCGAGCCAATTCGATAAGACGAATCCGAAGTTTGCAGAGGACATTAAGATTTAGCCAAATTTCATTGGAACATAAAAGATTTAATATTTTTTGTATTAATTTATTGTGAATTTGAATCATAAATTAACTTTTCATCTCCAAAGGATCTGCTCTTGACAGGAATAAATTAATGTTGTAATGAAAACTCTTTGGTTTAGTGTTTGTCTTTAAAAACAAAACTTGTCAGAATTCAGAGCATTCACATTTTGTCTAAAAACTGTTTGAATTTTATACAATTGTACGTAATAAGGAATACATAAACGAATATTGATGGATTTAAGTAAATTAACTTATTGTATTCCAATTTATTTCTTTACTTTACACAAAATTTCAATAAGATTAAAATGAAAATTTATATTTTGTTTCAGCCAATATACAAGAAGCAGTCGGAATAAACGGTGTCAATTTATCTGATTATTTTCCAGTTAAAAATTCTTACAATCCCGTCATATATATGCACAAGAAATTTCGTTCCAAAGAAAGAAAGACGAATAGGGAATACAAGAAAGTAGAAAAACAAAATTCACAAAATGAGATTAAAAAAATTGAAAAACAGGATAAGTGCGAACAATTCGATTACGATAAAATTAGAAGAGAAAATTACAAAACAAAAACTAAATACACTGACTACAAGGATCCTTTAATGGAACAAACTATCAAGTTTGCCACGGACATAATACCTTTAACCATTCCACCAAGCACAAACGACATTAGTAATCCCGTTTATTATACTATAAAGCCTAGTCAACGTATTAAGAGGAAACACGAACATTGCCAACAAAATTTAAATCATTACAAAGATGTCACTTTTAATAAACAAAAGTCCAAGAGTACGATAAAAATCGTAGATAAAGAGAAATATAAATGTAATGAAGAAAGTTTCAGTGCCAGAGAATCCGTTAGTAGGTCCTCGAAAAGTAATACCTTGGACGATATAAACGAAAATAAGTCGCTATGTTTCTCACTCTCTGAATCCACGGAGAGAAAACATTGTAAAGAAGATAATGAGAAGAAAAACAAAAAGAATGATCACCAAAAAATTACAGTCTCAGAGTCTTTTGAAGCCATCGCAGAAGAATATATGGATACGAGTGACGCAAAGATAAAAGTTCACCTCATGAATGATAAAGAAAAACAGTCGCTGTACGAAAATATACGAGCACCGGTTGTAAGAGTAATAAAACAGTGCTTTACAGAATTACAGAGCAATAATGAGGGCAATTTGGACTTGCAGTATTTAAACACCGCGATACAGTCACAAGAAACTAAATTGGACCGCATAATGGGTAAATTAGACAAATTCGAGGAACAACTAGAAATATTCGGGCAAATTCTATTAGAAAAATCTAAAAAAAATAAAGTTAAGTCGTCCAAATTAGAGGAACTCGGTCAAGATATAATAGAAGAAAATAATGAAATTAGTTCTGAAGAAGAATTAGCTGAAGTTACATTTATGAAGAAGAGAAAAGAGATGCCTACACCAGTAATAACTATGGTCAGTGAAAAAGAAGGTAAGATGAGAGGTGACGATTTAGCTAAAGGTGAAAATGTGCCAAAGAATTATGAAGTACCTGGTCCTCAAATAGTCGTTAAACCAGATAAATTGAACAGAATCCCAGCAAGATATTGTTGGACTGACACTGTTCAGAAGATGTAGTTTAATCATTTCCAATTTAAACTTTGATAGAACATAGTTTATATATTGTTAGAATTATTTAATATGTAATTTGAATCAATCAAATAAATATATATTAGAATGAGAATTTAATTTAAATTAAAAAAATACTTAGATTATTTCAATGGATAGGAAAGACACGTTTTGTTTGGATAAGATTTTTGCTGCATTTCAATACACATAATTTTAATGTACGTGTATTATGTATATAGGGAATACAATTGGCTTAAATCCATTCAGAAATCATAGTTGGATATTATTGAAGTGTAATGCTATTCGCCCAACAAATAATACAATTCGGTAAAGCTGTTAGTGCCCTTTGAATCCATTCTCGTGTGAGAAACTATTGCTCATCGATATTGTTACACCCGAGCTCGGAGCAGACGAGGTATGTATCGATTCGGGCAATCCCGTTGGCTAATATTGTTTTAATAGTAGACAAACGACCCGTGTGAAGCATTAGGATTGTATTTGTATTGGATGTACTTGAGAGTATCAGAACTCTTGAGATACAAGATTATATGGAAGACTTATATAAATAGAATTTGCACTAAATTTATGTATGTGAAAGATATTAGATTAAATTTAGTTAGGGAATACAAAAACTATCAAGAAAACTTTTATAACACCATTTTTACGTACGTTAATGTGTACCTCAAAAACCAAAGCGTATTTTTTCCTTTCAATCATTGCAATTTTCTAATTCTCTTTCAAAATCCTTTCATGGAGATCAAAAAGGTGAGCATGGGTAACAGAAGACTTGTTCTATTATGTAGACCGTCTTTGTTTTGGTAATATACTGATTTAGCACAATATACAACTACTACACAAATTACTTCATTCTCCTCGCGTGAAACTTCACGAATAACAATGACTTACGTTCACTGAGCAGAACTAAAACTTGAGACAATTCCAAGCTACTTCTTACTTAAATAATGAACAGATTATTCAGGACGTAATTCTTAATGAGCTTGCAAAGATTTGTACCGGAATTTTGATGAAAATATGTATCAAGCACTTTGGAGATCAGATTTCTACAAATAAGCAAGTCATTCATTACAGATTCCGTACATGATTAATCGCGAATGTTTCTCCTCAATGATTAATTGATACGTTCGCTTGTTTTTGATTGATAATATCACGCTAAAGTACTTGTATATCATGCTTGCACATGTATGATTACTTATATTATAAATGCGAAAGTAACTCTGTCTGTCTGTCTGTCTGTTACGCTTTCACGCCTAAACTACTCAACTGATTTTAATGAAATATGGTATAGATATAAAGTTGACCTTGAGAAAGAACATAGGATAGTTTTTATCCCAGACTTTTGAAAGGTTCTCTTGGAAACGCGATATAACAGAACTCCACGTTGGCGAAGCTGCGGGCGGAAAGCTAGTTGAATATTTTTCTGACTTTTTTAACGCAATGCATAGATTAGATAAAGCTTTGTTATCACCTGAGTATTATTAGTGAAGATACGTCTTAAATGGTAAGCATACTAAATAAAAGACTTCTAATATTGTTTCGATATTAATATGAGAGTACAATAATAAATATTTTTTATACTTACAGCAGAAAATTTCTTTATAATTCTATTGAAATATTAACAGGAATCCGTAATAAAAATTCTAATTTTAACCATAGAGGTTTTATATATGTGCGTGTACCGATTGATAGTAATAATATGTGAGCTTATAAAACTGTGTGTGTTGAAATAAATTGAAACATACTGTATATGCAAGCATTATTAAAAAACAAATTGGTTTTAAATGAAGTATAAAGACTAAATAATAAATTAATGCATTATATAAGCAAGGCAATAATGGCTAAGCTTAGATCCGATTTTAAATGATTTGTATGCAAATATATATGATATGTTTTTTTATAGTTAAGTTTTGTGACGAAATTTAGGGTTGTCACCTTTCATTTATTTCCACTATTTTCTCTTTTTAGTCAACTGTGTTTTGTTAAATCGCCCGCTCGTATCGGTAACATTAAAAATTGGTCCGACGCCAGCCGCTGCCAACCTTATTTATGCCCACAATTTTGGAACGCTTTTTTATTTATATCTCTCCTATTAATTCATAAAATATATGAATATTCATTTCATGTAATACTAGTTTATAAATATATATAACTGTGCATGATATTCGTTTGAATATAAATAAATATATATATAAACCAAGTCTACAGTGTGTCATCAGAAGCTATTAAGAGGAAGCGGTAGATAAAGATTAAGAATAATATAAAATAAAGTGGAAAATATGGCAACAACTCACCAAAGCTTGGGCGGCTGACTGGTGCTGGAAAAACGGGCTCAAGTCAGTATAGCCTTAGAAGAAGAAAGATATAGAAACAGAGGGAGTTATTAGAGAAGGAAATAATTTTGATACTGTATGTGTCATAACGTGATGTGTGTTCTTTATTTGTTGTTTACATAATTTATCTTGTCTCGTTGGACGGTATATATTTTTATCGTAGCAGTGCTACGGAACGTTTATCGTAGCATGCTCGTAGCAATGCTACGCGACCATATAATGTCACGTCATCTGAACATGCTATGTTGACATGTGAAAAGTAGTCTATATCTTTTGTTGAGTAAAAGAAAGATATAGTTATCTTTTATAAAGATACAATTTATATAAAAAAATCATTATACGTGGTTAACTTTAGAATCAGTTCTACTAAGTATTATAATTTTGAATACATATATTAATTTATTAAAAAACTTGATATAAAAAAAATCAATGGAAACAAAACAAATAAGTTATAAATAAGTTAAGTTGATTAATATATTTCCACTATATGCGTTACTCTCGAAAATTCCAACAGAAACCGCTGATTATACAAAGCTTGAAGCATATAACGAACCAACTGTTTCCTACTTATAAAATTTATACGTAACACAGTTGTAACTAGTTGTACCTAGTTGTATATAGTCGTACCTAGTTGTATATAGTCGTACCTAGTTGTATATAGTTGTACCTAGTTGTATATAGTTGTATACAGTTGTGCATGCTCACTGGGATAAATGTAAGCTGGTAGTTGTAAGTCTGGCGTGAGTCCAACACGCAGATGTGACACTCCAATTTATGTGAACGTAGCAGGCTTTAATGGAGGATCAGACTAAGTTCACACATATACTGACGATATCATGACTTGTGTGATATAAAACCTATTATAGATAATATTTATATTGTATATAGATTTAATATATTCTGGACATTATTGATGAAGAACTATCAAGATTTTTAATATTTTGATTACGTTTTTGCGTACATTAAAATGTGTTATTGAATGTAATTTGTTTATAATTATAAGGAAATAGATTTTTTGGACTTTAAATTTTGATGTCTGTATCGTTTAATATCAACTTTAAGCTTAAAAATGTATTTTTTTAAAGATTTTATCTATATAAGTCTTAAAAAGGAATGGTGAACATCAGTAATTAATGAAAACAAATTAAATTCTGTCAAATAAAAATAATATTCATAATACAAATAAAATAAGAAAAATTTGAATCCAATAAAATATGTTTTTATATTTAGAGTTTCCGTAACCTATAATATTGTAAATAATACTTTTCTATAAATTTTTTAAATAATGAATGTCCTATTGATATTAAAATCTTTAAGTTACAAGCATTTTTTCAGGTAATTAAGTGTAGTATATTACGAAATCTTCCGTAGTAAAAACTGTTACACTATTCTAATAACTAGACTATTTTACTAATGTAGTAAAAAATATTATAAACATCATATAATTTATAGATTCCAAATTTATAATTAAATCATTATGATTTAAATTAATAAATCACGACAATCTAAACAATTCAATATCATTTCGATGTCACCTATAAAACCCCTGTTGACATTAGACGCATCAGGCTGTAAAAGTTCACCTTAACCTGAACAGAAATTTAAAAAAAAGTAGATTGTCACTGTCAACGTCAAATACTAACGACGCGGTTAAGGGCACTGAGCATGTGGCCTTATTTTAACCAATGTCCCTGCCCTATTTAAAATGACTGCTAGACATAATGAGTGCTCAGAAGTTGAGTGGTCGCTTGTAGCTTCAGTTAATTGTATGATGCAATGTTTAATGTTTGTATGGAATTAAATTTAACTCGCCACACGAGGTCACGGACATTTTTGATTTACACATGTGTTGCATATTTTGGTTAAAATGACATTATTGCATACTTTATGGCTGCGTTCACCTTAAAAAAAATTTGCTTATAAATATTTATGGATGCGTTCGTTTTAAAAAAATATATGGAATATTTTTTAAATAAACTTATTTATGTATTTTATGTCTATAAAAAAATTCAATAATATTTTTTTAATATCCAATTAACAGATAAGTTATACAGCCAGTTATATAAACAAATAAATATTTTAATAAGGGAAGAAATACTATAGCAAATCTTATAAATATAATATTTAATTTAAACAATTATTATAGTCTCAATAATGTTGCAATCGATTCTCCGTCGGAATCGATTGCAGCCAATCTATTGGCATCGATTCGTGTTGTAATTGGCTGACCGAAGATTGGATGATAAATTATAAGAATTTATTTCATTGGATAATTTTTATTATAATTAAAAAATATATCATTTTCTTCAAATATTTTTAAACTAAAGAGAACTGTATAAATTATTTAGGGCTGTCGATTTAAAATAAACTTCTATATATCAATGTCGAATTTGATTATTTTTTTGATTTAAAAAAAAATATTGTAATCAAATATTTATGCATAATATTGGTAAAAATTCAAAATATATATTATATGTATATTTAAATATATATATAGGTATTTAATCTGTACAAATTTATTTGTATTCATTTAAAAAATAACTTTTATTTCCTATATACAGATAATATATGCGACGTCAACGCTGCAGTTGGTTTCTTCTCCACGAGATCTAAGATGGCGTATGCAATGCGGTAATCACAGATAAAAAATATATATAGATAACAATAAAATTCTTCAAACATTATATATATATACACATAAATTATTCAGGTATCTCGATTTTATTGTTAATTAAGTAATATTCTCATTAAATTATTTAGTAATTAATATTAATATAATTATTAATTAACCAGATTATTATTTCATTAAGGTATAGAAAAATATATATTCCTATTCATTATGCCAACATTCATTTCTGTTGAACTTGGCTTTTGATTGAGAACGAATAGAAATGTTTTTATTTGTATCAAAAATACATTTTTTTTTCATTTCATAGAAGCCCGAGTTTTAACAAAGCAACATTTTAATAGCCGTAGCTCGTAGCTCGTAGGCCCGTAGCCAAACGTAGCAGTTTCGTAGCAAAGTTGCTTTTTATTTAGCTTTATGTTCACGATTGTGGATATACATCCTATTGTTAAATATATTGAAGGTATAGATAATATATTATGTTTTTGATCATAATATGTTCGTATTGTTTTATATATGTATATATTTTTTATACATATTTACATGTTATACATATGTTAATGAAATAAATTTTAAAAATATATTTAAAAAGAAAATCGACGTATAATTTTTTTTACGTGTTATATTAAATTGTTTATTATTATTGTAATCGGAAATTAAAATTAATAAAGAAAATATGTTCACATCACGCCATGACACCCGCCGTACTAGCACACGCGAGCCATAAAACTTAACCCAATTCCTTGCTCCCTTAAAAAACATTGTTAATAATCGTTCCCATAAAAATAATTCGCCCTAATCGACTCAAAAAATACAAGTCAACTCACGCCACTGTTACGTAACGCAGGGCGAGCCTTACTAGTCTCCATAACAACGCACCTCAAACAGGATTATTATAAACAATAAACAATATACAAATAGTTTTTATACCAAGGAGTATTTATAACATTTAAATCAATTAGACTTAGAACGTCGGCTGTATACAGTCGTGCAGATAGAAATTCCATTTTTAAATCATGTGATTAAGGTAGGAATTCCATTTTTAAATCGTGTGATTAAGAAATTTAAATGTGATTCATTAATGTAGTCATGCTGTCTGAAGTGTCTACTACACAACTAATGCTCAGTAGTAAATGTATATCTAAGTCTGTAATAATATCTAATAGCCACAACATCGACAATGATTTATGTAATTACGGAATCGATTTATACGAATGATATATTGAGTCAATGTGAGAGGAATGTTGATACTAATAAGACTAACAGAGCATGGATTTGGCGTGATCTGGTCGGCGTGCTGATGGTAGTTGATAGTATTCATTATATATAAGAGTGTGCGTGTGACCAAATCCATGCCTGCGGGGTTGTGCGGGCGAGCTCACCGTCGGCATCAGTTGGTCCGTACTCCTCACGCGAGTCACCTTGTTTTTGTATATCAGCTTCTTGAGAGCCCTCTCCACCGGCTGGTTCCACCTCATGAACAGCACGTACGCGCCGTACAACGAGAACAGCACCAGAGCCTCCTGCCAATATATCACGTTGTCACGAAAACAGTATATCAACACCAGCAGGCTGATGGAGTAGAACGTGCAGTCACGGAACAGCGGCCACCAGGTGAGGGACAGGGTGGTGCGCGAGAACAGGGCGCACGCTCCGATCACGAACAGGATGTTGAACACGGCCGAGCCCACGATGGTCCCGATGCCCACGTCGTCGAAGGACACGAACACTCCGATGATGGAGGTGAACAGCTCGGGCGCCGAGCCGCCCGCCGCCATGAAGGTCGCGCCCGCCACGTCGTCCCTGATGGCCAGCCGCTCTATGATCACGTCCAGCGCCGGCACGAAGAACTCGTCGCAGACTATCGCCAGCGCCACGAACATGTACCCCATGCCGATCACGTGGAACACCACCGCGCCGGATCTCCGCTGTTCCTCAGTGAATATATCGGGAGGGAAGAGCGGTGTCTTTTCTTCCAGGTCAGTCTGCTCGGTGGCCAGGTCCGTCGCGTTGGGCTCGCCGGCCCGCGCCGCCGCCAGCAGCGCGAGCAGCAGCGCGCCACACATGCCGCGCTCCCGGGCCCTGCGACCACACTGACGGCCCCCGGCCCCGCCACACATCGCCGACACTATCGACTGAGAGGCGAGACATCGATGATTTGGATATCGATAAACATTCGTGCTATTACATTATTATTCTTCCGCCTAATATTTCAAATGGACTGAAATCATTTGCTTCTTAAATCTATACCATTTGTAGTACTAAACTTATATTTTTGGAACGTTAATTAAAAAAAAAAACATTTAACTCTATTATTATTTCAATTATCCATACCAATAAAATTTATCTTTTAATAACGACGTATTCAACATAGAAAGTACATCAAAAGTAAAGTCAATATGAATATATAGCGATTCATTTGTGAATATCGATACATCGTTGTAACATCGATAAAGGCCACCCCTACTCCGGGCTGGCCGCTCGATAGTCCCGCACTGCGCCGCGCCGCCCCTCCAAGCTACGAATGAATAGACTTGCCCTAAAAACAGTGTACAAGATACTCTGAATGCGTCGCCCATGCCGTACTACAAGTCCTAATTAATGTACACTATGACACACACTCGACATAATATTCATAAAATACTTACACGCCTAAATATCCAAAATAAATATGCATGAAAAATGTTCTATTTTTTGTCTAGAAATTTAAACAAAACCAGCTTCATTAATTATCACAAACGTCTCACAAGGAAGGGCCCTTAATAATTTGGCGGACAACCAACAAAAGTTTCGTAACTGTGTAAAGTTTTTTGTGGATTTTATGGTTTTTTTTCTTGTTTTATAAAAAATATATGAATTTTGTAGATTATAAAGAGCAACCTTTAGAATTTTGTGACGTTAAATATTTCTATTTTAATAAAAAAATCAAATATATTTAGATTAGAATCTCAATTCGGCACGACACTGGCAGAATATACTGTGCACGTCTTTGTACGGATAAGGCCATATTTAAAAAAAAAAGAATGTCAATATCAAACCAATTAATCTTATATTTCCATAAAGATAACAAAAGTGAGGTATTTATAATGAGGAAAACTCATAATAAATATTAATACAATAGTTATTACCAAGAGATATTATTAAGAGCTCATGAAAAATTTTCAATTCTTAGTCCACGGAATTTCCGAGCGACCTCGATTCACGAAGTCGTAAATTTTATCGCTATGTCTCTATTAATCTCATTTTTAAATCCGACCGACGTAGAAGAGTCATTTGTCCAAAAAAATTTACTTCAACTTTTAACATAAAATATAGAGCTTCCAATATATTATTAAATGTATTATCTTGTGTATAATATATGTATGAAGTAGAAGCTTTTTATATATCTATCTATATATAGTGATAGAAAACTAGACATAATTAACATACCTATTAATTAATTGAAAAAGCAACTGACATGAAGTTTTTATAACTTACTTTATCGTATTTGTTCATCTAGTTAGTAAATAATTTAGATTGAAAAAGATTATCGTATTGTTTATAGTTTCTACAATGAGATAAGGCTGATACGGCTATGGAGAGGCAATTGCTTACTAAAGGTTCTTTTTACAACTATTTATAAATGTAAATATGTAATTCATTTATTAAATATATTATATAGAATTATATTCTTTACTTTTTTCTTATTCAATATAAATTGAATTTATAATAATGAATTTTGTCCGCGTCATAATGAATTTTGTTGTAAATAAACAGATTAGTAAGTTTCGTCTACGCTTGTATTTTGTAAAGGTTTTACATAATTTATAAACAGACAAAAAAAAAAATTATATAATTTACATTGCAGAGTGATAACTAATTTCGCTTCTCACTGTTTAAATTTGTATAAATTGGTGCTTTTTTTGTGTAGTCCAAAGTTTTTTATCTATTTCTCGTATGTTTAAATTAAAGGGGATTCTCAACAGGGCTTTCAACCCGGGAGTCTCGGTCTCGAAAATTTCGAGTCTCGAACACTTTGTCGTATTTTCAAAACCCGAGACCTCTCCTCCAGTCTTTGACACTTTCGAGACTTAGTTAAAAAATCTACCTAAAAATCTGTTAAACTACCATTTTTTATTTCTGTTACGTGGCACCACTGTAAAGTGAAAGTTAGCATAATCTGTAGAGATTGCAACCTGATCTCAAACACAATACGTTCGTTGTCAAATCTTCACGTATTGTTTTTTTATAAAAAGTATAAAATATATGGCTAACTCTATGTGAAAATACTTCGAACGCCTCTTTCTTTCTGCGTGCTTATTATAAAATTAAAAAATGTTAATTTTACTTATATATCATTAAACTGTGATAGTTAAAGTACTTAATTGAAACATATTGTATTAATTGTCTACTTGTATAAACTTTGACTATAAAACGTTTTTTCCGGGAATCCTGGGACTGGACAGACTCCGACCGATTTTTTCCAAGGATTCGAAAATGTATCGAGACTTATAGCCTTACTCCCGTGAGTTCGCCTATGATTTTCAAATCATATGACATTCATATTCTTATACATTTGTCCAAGTGATCCTCTTGTGTATTTGAATCCCTATTTGGGTATTCGGATCAGTCATTCAAATATTGACAACCATCATTTGGGTATATATTATACCCAAATACCCATATATTATGTACTTGATAAACACTCCTAAAAGTGAAAAAAAACCTAAAATCAACCATAGACTACCTGGGTCAATTTGCTTTCTCTTTATCATTCCCATTTTTCAAGTATTTAGTTTTTTAGTGATGGTTTAAAACTTAACAACATTTATGGCTCACTACAAATATAATAAAAATATTAGATAAATTGTGGTACCATATTAATTGACAATAATATATATTTTTAGCAATTCTAATAGTAATAATAGTTTTTGGTGTTAATATTAGTGTGAAATGAAACGTTAGCCATAGACAACTTTTTTTCTCTGTTAACTGTTAAGTCACGCCAATGTCATTGACCGAGTTATCACACGTAAGGTTTCGTTAAATGGGATTGTGTTATTATAATTGATTTTTAGTTAATTACGTTAAGAATTTATCACAAACAGTTGTCAAGATGTGGCTCGATCAGGCGGACGGTTTCGCGGAGATATTTAAAGGCTACTTGCCTTACTATTTACTCGTAGTTTTTCCTATTTTTATTATTATGTCCCCCGTGAACCCAGTTGCCGCATCCCATGAATTTTCGGTATACAGAATGCAACAATACGATCTACACAATGTTCCCCACGGTAAGCTACTCGAAAGGAATTCAAGTTCATTTATTAATTTAAAGATCTAGATTATTTTGAGGTTATAAGAACTTATTGAATTCTAAGTAGACAGGTGTCTTATCTCAATGAACTAAATTTTTTATACCAGCTCAAAAAATATTTGCTCTCCTTGATAATATAATCTACTTGTACACAGAACTTAATTTAATATTGCATACATGCAGGAGAAAAAACAATTAATGGGGCCAATTTATAAATCTGATACTGTACTATAAAATTTTCTTTAATTATTATTAACGATGTTTAATACATGATTACTTAAAATAAATAATGTTAAATTGTTTATAAAATTAAGGAATTACTTTAATTATGCCCCTGCTATAAATATAATGTAATATATTTATGTAGGTTGCCGAAGCTCCAGTTTCAACTTGGAAGGCCGTTCCCTGAGCTCGTGGGGAACCTCTCGTCACTGTGTTGTCGCACGCCTTCAAGATATCTCAGTGGACCAATTTGTAGAAATAAGAAACAAAGCTGGTGCCCTCGTGTTGGTATTACCAAAGAACATCACCTTACTTACCGATGAAGAAAAAGAGGTATGTCGGGTGTTGAAGAAGTTTCTTTATTAATATGCATTTTGTAAAATTTGTGTTATGATAAACAAAGTATTTAATATATAGTATTCAAACTTGATATACATTTATCTATATTAAGGGTTGAGAAACTTCTGTCTACTGCCCAATTTGAGAATAAATTAATTCTTCATCTACTGTAAAACCAATATAACTTATTATAGCTAAATGATATTACAAATCATCCCCCATTCTCCACATAATTACCCCATTTATTTCAAGCTCTCTAACTGCATGCCTTATGGCCTGAAGTGCCTACAAAGGATTTTATTACCAAATAAATAAGGGTGATCTATACAATTACATCAATTTTTTGTATTTATAATTTGCATGAGAAAAAATTACATAGAAAATTAACTCATAAAACAACTAATAAAGAATTATCCATACAATAAATTATATACTAATTATAATATGAATTAAATCAAATTTTATTTCAAATACCTCAAAATATTTCAGCACATAAGACTGTTGGAGATGGCAATGATGCAACAGGAGATCAATGTTCCCGTGTACTTCGCAAACTGGTCGCCTGAGTTTGAAGACATCATTGCCGATCTTCAACACAGTTTCATAACCGATGATAAATCTGGAACAGCTTTAGAGGCTATGTTCAATACTGTGTCGTCCAATGGATATCAAATAGGTGAGTGCATTATATTTATCCTTAGAATATGTTTGTATCCTCATACTTAATACAGTTTTTCGTACTCAATACATATAGTGTAGATACATCATATAAAAAGTTAATGAAAACAGAGAAGTAAAGTATTTAGTTCCAGTAATTAAACTTGTAAGAATTTAAATTATTATTTTTTAAATTTATTTGTAATTTTTACTGTATGTCTGTCTGCTATATATTTTTATCAGTATAATTTATTGGAAATAAAGTTGTAAAACATAGGTTAAACGAAACTAATATTTTCTGATTTACTATGCGATTTTTTATTTTTGACTATAAACTACATACTACGAGACATCTCATCTGTCAGTGATCACGGTTGCTGTAAAGTAGCCGAAACGTCGAGAATATGTAGTTTATAACCAAAAATAAAAATCGCCTAGTAAATCCGAAAATATTATTTTAATTTAAATGAGTACTCGCGAAAATCTTAGATCTCAAAACATAGAATAGTTTTATGATATGTCTTATTTGTTCATAAAAGAAATTATCAATAAATGTATATATACATATATTTAATTCACATAATCACATATTTCTACACTAACATAGATGTAGTACATGTTAAATACTATAGTATGATAGTGTATGAACAATCTCCATTGATAATTATATTTACATAATAAGATCAGTACAAATATAGCAATGGTTGAACTAAATAATTATTTAAAGTTATTTATGAGTTTGTACTCGTATGTAGTCAATTATATAGTTATCAAAACCACACATTTACTTAAAAATTAAACACCAATCAATTTTCAAATTATCAAATTCTTTCCTATTTTTAAACTCTATTATTATTATTAAAATACCTAAAATCCAAATCTAAGCGCACGGTAGTGCGCCGGCCAAGTTCCACAGGCCGGCGCATGCCGTGCGCTATATTTACACGAACAGTTTCGACCCACTTTTGACCCCCCTGTAGCTCAGTGCCTATTGCAAGTACAGAGACAAAATTTTACCTACGTAATCATATAGTAGTACTAAAGCAGTATGCCAAATTTCATAGATAAAGCTTCAGTAGATCCTGAAATATGATCCTGTGAAAATAGCTAATTTTGGCACTGACTCACTGACAGGTAATCAAAACCTCTAGGCCACTTCCCATTGTTTTAGCATTATGAAATTTGGTACACAGGTTGTGTGTTATATGTAGATTAACAAAAAATTAAGAAATTTAAGAAATCGGTCAAGCGTGAGTTGCCTCAATTCTAAATATCGAATTTTTAATAAATTCGACCCACTTTTGACCCCCTGTAGCTCAGTGTCTATTGCAAGTACAGAGATAAAATTGTACCTACGTAATCATATACTAGTACTAAAGCAGTATGCCAAATTTCATAGATAAAGCTTCAGTAGATCCTGAAATATGACCCTGTGAAAATAGCTAATTTTGGCACTGACTCACTGACAGGTAATCAAAACCTTTATATAGGCGCTCAGCTCAGCACAATAAAATATATAATAATGAAATATTAATAATTAATAATATGAGTACATCTATCAATCGGTGATAAATGAAACTAAAAAATAAATATAGTTTAAAAAAAAACTAAAAAACACGCTCCAATGATGAAAGAAACCGCGTGGAAACTAATTTAACCTTTACAACCTTGGAAATCAATTTAATTTAAATTGTTTAAAATAATTTAAATTTTTAGGGTGGTAGAGCCTAGCTGTAGTCAATTTACTACAGCTCGAACATGGGCTGGCTCGACCAGGGAAGTACCACCCTCTCGCAGAAAATCGGCGTAAAGTAGTCTTTAAAGGCTGCGTTTCGTCCGGTGAGTGAGAGAGCCGGTTGCCCTTTCCCTTTTCCCAACCTTTCCTTTCCCTCCCTTTCCCACCTTTTCCTCCTCCTTTTCCCCAATCAAGGGCGGCAACACATCCGCAAATCTAGTTGCGGATGTCCATGGGCGACGGTAACTACCTACCATCAAGTAGGCCGTCTGCTCAGTTGCCCCCTTTTCCCATAAAAAAAAAAAACAATAAATGGTATTATTGAAAAAAAGGGCGTGGGGCGCTTCTCAAGAAGTGATGTATGAAGCTCATCACGCTTTTTTTCACAAAAATACCATTTATTGTTTGTTAATTTATTTTTAAATTAATATTATTGTGAAAAAAGTGTGGGGCGCTTCTTAAGAACTGATATATATATATAAATAAGGGATATAAAATATTGTCATGTATACATAATGCACACTGTGTAACTTAATTAAATATTGCTTACCTAAAAAATCAGGTTTCTATTGTTATAAATTACTTTCGATAGATGGCGCTAGCGGTATAATTGAATCGCGATATTGTTTTGTCTGCAGTATATATGAATGAAAGTCGATAAGGAATCGATGGTCATTTCTTTCTATTTCTTTCTACACTTATGTCTTGATATCTTATATATGGTAACGATTACGATTAAATGGATCACTGATTTGACTTGCTAAAGGATAATTTTGATATTGCTTATTGATTGATTACTTGTGTGTGTTAAAAGCACAAATTCACTCTATTTCTTTTCTACTATTCATTTACCAACGATGGAAATTGTACATCTTTCGGTGGTTGGCGGAGATATACCACATAGGGTAATTCCTATGCCATCAGATGGTAGCTGTATGTTTCATGCTGTAAGTTATGCATTGTACGGCTGTATAGTACGATTGTATGTACGATTTTTTGAAAAAAAGTATTGAAATCTCACCAAAAACATGCCTGTTAAAAAGGGGGCCAAGTTCCAATCGGCTAATTGTTTGCCTAAAAAAAGGAGTGAAATCCAATCTAATGCCAAGTTTAGATGCACTTTGAAATCGATCATAATCATCTTCATCAACAGCATGATCTACTGGTAAACATTTGCCATTCCCAAGACTCGCCACCACACCCAGTCCTCTGCCTTCCACATCCAGCCACTACCCGCCACCTTATTCACGTCAACGGTCCATCTGGTAGAAATTCACTTTACCATACACCCAACTTAAAATATGGTATAGTTGTGAAAATACGTAGGTGCTTGGTTAAAAATATCTAAAATTATAATACTTCTAAATTTGAACTTGGCAGATTAATTTAATTATTTAAATTATATAATATTTAAATTATATAAATATAAATAATTATATAACTAAATAATAAATTAATGATACAATTAATTAAGTGTTACGTACAGCACAAAAACCTGCCAAGTTCAAATTGAGAAGTATTATAATTTTAGATATTTTTAACCAAGCACCTACGTATTTTCACAACTATACCATATTTTAAGTTGGGTGTATGGTAAAGTGAATTTCGGTCAGATGGACCGTTGACGTGAATAAGGTGGCGGGTAGTGACTGGATGTGGAAGGCAGAGGACTGGGTGTGGTGGCGAGTCTTGGGAATGGCAAATGTTTACCAGTAGATCATGCTGTTGATGAAGATGATTATGATCGATTTCAAAGTGCATCTAAACTTAGCATTAGATTGGATTTCACTCCTTTTTTTAGGCAAACAATTAGCCGATTGGAACTTGGCCCCCTTTTTAACAGGCATGTTTTTGGTGAGATATATTTATATTCATTTAGTATCAGCAGTCAGTGGTGGCCTAGTTGTTATGGGGCCCATACAAAACCATCTCTAAACACTTTCACATGAAAGTCGTTATGGTGTAAAAGTAATTAATTAATTTAGTTTTATAAATAAGCTTTTTTTCTATATTTTTTAAATTATTTTTTTGCAAAACATAATGTATATAAAAAGACATCAAATCTAACTCATGTTCAATGATGTGATTTTGTCACAATACATTACTACAATTCAACGCCACATTACTCGAAAGTTTTTGATATAAATGTATAAGTATTATATATTTTTGAAATGCTTATAATCTCCTTGTAACGTTTTTTAAACAATATTATGTACAATAAATAAATAAAATACAATTAATCAACATAGTTTAAGATTTTAAAGTTTTCGGGTTACTTTTTTTTAACGAGACCTAACCTTTTACCGCTGTTTACCGCTGACGAGATATTTATTGTATTACGATCTTTATACATTAGTTTACACAAGGAGAAAAAAAATTGCGCCTTTTCTGATACGGTGTCAAAACATATATTTTTATTTTTTAAATAAATTAATAAACATAATTTTCTAAATTATTATTTTTTATTATTATTATTATATGTGTGCAAAATTACAGATCATTTAGTTTTGAAATAACTGACATACGGTGTTTTGAGACATACAGAACATACGCGATTTTCCCATAGTTCGCGGGTTCGATCCTGGCAAGTACCAATATGATTTTTATATATGTCATATGTACTTCCTAAGAGTATTTAGACACCACTGACAGACGGTGAAGGAAAACATCGTGATAAAACCTGGACTTATATTTTCACAATTATAGGTTTGAAATCACCAACCCGTCTTGAGCAAGCGTGGTGATTAATGCTCAAACCTTATACACGTGAGAAAGAGGCCTTTGCTTAGCAGTGGGCTCTGATAGGCTGATGGTGATAATATCAGTTTATTTCCAAGCTATAACAATTTTTTCTCTCATCATCACTAATAATTATTAATGTGTTTTATTAATAATTCCAGTCGTATCGACCTCATCTCCTCACAAGCTTGAGTCCAAGCCGGTCACTCTCCACGGGAAGCTGTTTGGTCGAGCTGGGAACACTCAGACCATAGTAATAGCTGCTCATTACGACGCTAACAGCTTAGTACCTGTATGTATTAATATATATTCTAGTTTCAAATTATTCTCGTTTTTATTATATTTCTCTATCTTTATTAAATTATAAAACCAAAAGAATTTATGTTTATTCTTATATAAATATAACTTTCATGTTTTTCCTTACATTTACTAATTACTACATTAGGCGCTGATAATATCCTTAAATAATTTAAATTGTCTATCGTATTATTAAAAATATATATCAAATTACGACCTAAAATCTATGTAGATTACAACTTATCAGCCAAATTCAATTAAAAAATCCTCATACTTTACCAAGTTGCTAAAATTATGTATGTATTAAATATTAATATATTCCAGGAGCTATCAACGGGTGCTGACTCTAACGCGTCCGGTGTCGCGGCTCTATTAGAGTTAGCCCGCATCTTCTCACGACTCTACTCGGTCACCTCTGATAGAGGCGGCCCGTCTATATTGTTCGTGCTCACCTCTACCGGACACTCTCTCAACTATTTCTCTACTAAGAAGTGGCTTGAAGAACAGTTGGATTCTGCTGATGCCACTCTCTTACAGGTTACATATATATAAAACTACATAATGACTATATGACTATACATTTATGTATGTATGTGTACATACATACATTAACAAACACTCACATATTGTATACAGGGTGACTGGTGAATTACTATCGATACTTGAGGACGTGATATTTGACGATCATATATGACAAAATAAAAATAAATATAATATAAATATTAATAAACTTCTAAGTAAAGTTAACCAAAAGTTATGTAATTAATTACGCATCGTGTGAACACCCTACAGATTAGGTATACACACACACACACACACACACGCGCGCGGCGGCGTGGTGTTGTATCAACACGCCGCCGCACGCGTCCACACTTGGAACACTTGGAACGTGTCCACACTTTATTTATTTATACGGAAATTTGGTCAAAAATTAAGTACCTATTTTTTTTACATAATTGGAATGAGAATCATGTACCGAGTATTCTCCTTAAATATTGATAGTAATTTACCAGTCACCCTGTATATATATACTTGTGCGTGTTAATTTATTGTTTATCTGCTATATTAAAATCAAGATAAATTTGCAAAGCTTAATATTAACAAGAACCATTAATAACTGCATCATTATAAAAGTCTGGTAGTATGACATTGAATAGTTCAATAGAAATGTTCAAGTATTCATATTGACTTCAACCAAAAAAAAAATTACTTATGATATTTACGGCTCATTGGAAAGTTTTGCATTTATTACAATTTTGGTACATACTTAATATTCACTAAGAATATAAGAAATTTTATTAATAAATATGAGAATGATTCATTGATTAAAAGAATATTATACAAAAGGACAATATTAAGTGACTATAAATAAGATAAGTCTTTGTGTTTTGTACTTTTAATAATCATGATAGTTAATGTCATGCTAAATGAATTTAATTTTCATCAGATCTAACACTATGAGTATTCATTTAAATGAAACTAATATTTAAAAGTAATATTTAAGTTTTCTAGGGAGAGTGTACTTTTAAAAATAATAAAATAACTCGTAGTCATCATAAAATATTAGTTCTATATGTCACATCTCGTCTGCCCGTCAACACAATTGCTAAAAAGTTGCCGTTACGTCGGGATTATGTAATTTTTTACAAAAGTTAAGTCGCATAGCATCCCTAAAATAATAGTTTCATTGAAATTAATACACGCAAAAGCCTTATCTCATTATGTCATTATATTTATCATAGTATATTAGTTTATATGTCATTATATTTTTCCAGGACGTATCATTCATCATGTGTCTGGACTCCATATCATCGGGTCCTCTCTCCATGCACGTGTCCAAGCCTCCCAAGCCGTGGACGGCCGCTCACTCTATAAAGTCCCGGCTTCGAGTCCCGGTTGTTCACAAGAAGATCAATTTGGCAGACGAGACACTCGCCTGGCATCATGAACGGTTCAGCATCAAGCGGATGACCGCCTTCACTGTTAGCTCGCTACAGGTCAGTCTGTGACCTTTGACCTTGACCTTTGTTATACTAAATATCTTACTAAATACTTTGATATACTAAATATCTTTCTCCATACACCAAGTCCTCATTATCAAACTAAACCATATATGTTTTTGGTAAATGTTTTTACGCCTCGATACGAGTCCTTTTGAGCCTTATCATTACAAAATTTCAAACTTAACCAGGTTTTGGATTGCTGCAATTCAGAATTTTGACCATATGACAGTATTATATTAGTAGTAGCTTAGGTATGAAAATTTTGGTATTATATAGAGCATTATAAATATTTGATAATGATTTTTAATTATGTCTGTGGCTGCTTGAATCTTTCAAGGTACATATTTTTTCAATGTATGTATAGTCAATAAGTCACTATGCACCACATACAAAAATTAGTAATCAACATATATATATTATTATAATAATAATTGTTCTATATACGAATAACTTTTAAACATTATATCTTACATAAACATTCCACCCTGTATATATCAGAGTCACAAGGATCCGTCTCGCAGCTCCATTCTGGATACACCCAGCGACGCGTCTCTGAACACCCTGTATACAAACATTGTGGAACTGTCCCGAGCACTCGCCTCACATATATACAACCTGACAGACGAAAACATACAAACACATCTATATGATGAAGCTCTGGTGAGATGAGAATTAATTATTATTAATATATAAGATAACTAGCTTTCCGTCCGCAGCTTCGCCCGCGTGGAGTTCGGTTATATTGCGTTTGCAAGAGAACCTTTTAAAAGTTTGGAATAAACTATCCTATGTTCTGTTTTAAGTTCAACTCTATGTCTGTACCAAATTTCATTAAAATCAGTTCAGTGGTTTAGGCGTGAAAACGTAACAGACAAAAAGAGTTACTTTCGCATTGATAATATTAGTAGGGATTGTATGTAACCTTACCTGGACTGAATAATTGTGTTTTATTATTTATGTATATGAAAATAAATAATTTATATGATAAAATAAGTCTATAACACTTCTTAGTACATTAATAATACTTCCCCAAAAGTTTAATCAAAATCGAATCAGTTGTTTTAGAGATTATCCGTAACAAGCAGGTGGATGGAATTAGTAACATATATGAAATTAATTTTGGCTTTAATATATGTACTATGTGCATCTCATTTAGTAATAACAAACAAAATCCAATTTCATTTATTTCTGTACATATTGAATTCAAAATGTCTCCTTACCATATACATAGTTTAATTAATAATAATTTATTTGTTATACAGAGTGTTGACATGGAATCCATCAAGCTGTGGTACAACTACCTTTCCTCTCAGCCACGAGCGCCGCATGTAGTCACAACTAGTCAAAATGGAGGTATGTAACATATACATATATATATACATACTAGAAGACCCGGCGAACTTCGTATCGCCCTATAATCAAGAAATATCTGTTACGTTTTCTTATTTTTATTTTTGGAGTTTACCTATTAAAGCCATAAATCTCCGTGTTTTGAAGTGCGACAGAATGATTGACATATTAGTTAGTTGTCAAATCAGATGTCATAAAAAAACGTTTGTATCAACAACTACTAATAAATTAAAAATTAATTAAAAAAACATTGGACCAGCGGACAAAATTGTGAATCTAAACCATTCCCAGATCACCTTGAACACACACAAAAAAATTCTTCAAAATCGTTCCAGTCGTTTGAGAGAAGTTCAGTGACATACACACTCACAGAAGAATTATATATATAAAGATATACATATATGTATATTATTCTGCTCTTACTAAAGTAACTTCACATATAATTTGAGATATGTCTGTAGTAATAATAGTCCATATATGAATTTATTTATTTATTAATCTTTAAAGCATAAACATTGTAAGCATTTATTTTTAAAATTTATAGAATTCTATTTATATTAAATTTGTGAATATTTTACCAAATGTCATAACTATATATATTCTACAGTACTACGATACTAATATCAGTTATTTGTAGTATTTAATAGTAATAATATTCTTTGTTTATTTCCCAGGTGTGTCCGCTGCCTTAGAGCGCGTGTTGTCCAAGTTCGTGGAGGTGTCTGTGAGTGTGCACGCGACCGACCGCCGGGAGCCGGAACACGCGCTCTACGGACCAACCAGGGCGCTGCTATATGTATACAGGTAACACACACACACATATATATACATATGTTATAATATCTGATATCAACCTCTAAAATCATTTTTTGTAATTATTGGCAAACTGTGAAGCATCCTCTGAAGCTTTAACTTCAATTTGTTTCGTTAGCGACGACGTTACTATAACTGTCAGTAGGGCATTCACGCCTGCGCCGGGTGTATACACACGTTGTTTATGATGTCAACATGTATTAATCTGACGACGAACTTAGAGTTTACATCGCTCTCATTCTGCGAAATATATTTATACTATTTTAACTGTAGGTTGAGACTTGATCCACCTTCCTATTATTGTTTTATTATATTAATACAAAAAATTACTATATAGAAATAGCCCAAGTCACTCATTAGTTATACAGTATACACCCAAAAAATTTTTAGAGATTAGCCTGAATAAAAATATAAAATGTTAAAAATATATGATCATGTGTATCGTGGACACATGTACATATATGCATTTAGTATAAAGCGGTTATATTAAAATCACAAGCAGACAAAAATACTTATGTATATATATTTACTGTGATTTTACATAGTGAGTAGTTTATATTATATTAAATGAATTGTTTAATTACAAAATATGTCAAGTGTCTTCATCTAGTTGTTACATTTTGAAGTTAAACATTATTAAATTGTACAGTCAATAAAGTTATTATAACTATCATCCATATTGGGTTATTATTTACAAGATATATAGTTTATTTTTAATATGTTTATTTCTTCTTTCAGTGTGAAGCCCGCTGTATTTGATCTCATCCTAACGCTAGCGATCGTGGCCTACCTCACAGTTTTGTATTTCGCTATGCAAGTGTTCCCACGTTTCTATGAAGAATACGCGAAAATAGTCACAGGGAAAGCCAAAGTTCATTAAAACTCTAATATGTATGAAATAAAACTCATAATTGCGTGTATACAACGTGCGACACAAATATCAATATCATGTACGTGGTAATATTAAATTACAGACAAATCTGAGTTGTACGCTGTACAAACAAACTATCGCCCTAGAAGTTACATAATATTTAATTAAGTATATATTTAGCTTATGTACAGTGTGCGACGCTATTTAAATCTGTATGAAATAGTTTTTAAAGCAATTAATATTTCAAAAACAAAACCTTTGTTAAACCTATGTTGCACATTGTATCTAAGACAGTGAACAAATTAATTAGTCTATAAATTTGAATTGTAATTTGTACTTTATATACAAGACATAGAAGTCATATTAGAGCGTTTGGTACATATTTATTTATTTAAATTATAAAATGTATAAGTAGACGGTATTTCGTAATGGTTGTTAAAATTATTTATGATTTGCTTATTCTTAAAATAAATAGAATTTTCATAAAATATTTAAATCTAATCATATATAACTGATTCAAACAGATTATTATATATATCTGAGTGTTTTCAAAGTAGAAATATAAACCAAAAAAATATTTATTACCTATATATAATGTTATGCCAGAAAAATAAAAAGTATTGCCACTTGTATCACCATTGAGCTATAAAAATTGTTCTCAAATAATATTAGAAATTATTTTATATTATAAATTAAACAAAAGACATATTAATTACATATTAATTTTTTAATTTTTTCATTACTTTTAATCATCAGTACTGAATGGTACAATTTTTAACATATTCCTCATTTCATACATGATAAATGTAATATTATAATGTCTATAATAATTGTTACATACATATAAGTGAAAGTTTAACGAACAGAGAGTATTGTGTTGTTGTTAAGATAAATATGCAAGAATTATTAACTATGTTAACTGCTATATAATATATATACATATATATCATACATATGAATGTCTGGACGTCCCACAGTTCCTTATACATGTATTAAAACAGTTGAAGCAATAAAATCATATCATTAAGATATATTGTATGAGCGACAACGCAACATGATAAATTATGTAAACAAACGTTAAAGTTGTTAACTGCATTTATATGAATATTTGTGTTTAGAATCTGTGTACAAATTATATGTAGTAGTCAAATAACACAACTTTTTAAAATATTCAATAATAATTATCCAAGAAATGCTTACATATATCAAGTGTATATTTATCTATTTTTAGATTCGCAGGTTTGAGTCCTGTTTATGATTCGATAATGTTTACAAAATTTATCTTGTTTCGTTGTCATGTCATACATATTAAGTTTTATCAAATGAATATTTTATATCAAACCTTAAGTTACCCATTATGCTGTATACAATCATTTTCAGTATATGTCTTAATATATATTTTCATCAGTTCATTATGTATGTGATGTAAGATGTATGTAATTAGTGCTGTGTTTTACCTCTTAGTAAATACAACGATCATTTTAGTCGAGAGTATTCTTGTTATGAAGGAATCAATGATTTTTTTGGTGGATTTTTTTCGTTGCTGGAAGATTTTTTTTGTACTTTTGGTCAAGTCATGATTACATATTTTTTTGTTGTTACGAATGTGTTATTAGTGTTAAGATGTAAATTTTAAGATCAGGTTAACGTTTGTTAGGTAGCGGTAGGAACAAACCTCTTGTGATTGTAAGAAAAAATGTAGGTACATGCATGGATTTGAATAAAAGTTTTTCGGTTGCTAAATAGTTTTTTATTTATAAATTACAGCTACCAAAACTGTCATTGTATGACATATAAAAACAAGTACAAAAATATAATATCAAATAGAAATAACATAATGTAGCCGTCTCTCAATATATAAGCTATAGATCGACATTCTTACATTCTAAGTATATGCTGCTTATTTAAATTAGGTCTTAAATATTGTTTTATATTTCATCCTTCAAATACTTCGACGCTGGCCGCTCCGTTGATGTCTTTGAGTTCGTTGGATCTATACGTCGCTACGATATTGATCTTACCGAGTTTCTGAAAATAAATATTTAACTTATTAAAATGAACAATAACATTTTAGTAAGTTGGCAAAACTAAAATGGACTTATACAGAATGCAAACGAATAATACAGTTCAAATGAAACTAATATTTTTCAGATTATACTACGTGACTTTATTTTCGTAAAAAACTACATACTCCCGAAATCTCAGTTACTTTTCAGTAACCGTGATCACGGGCAGACGAAATGTGTTTAATGTTTTCTAACATAAAAAGAATTTAATAAGAAACTCTAAATTGAGTGACGACTTAACAAACGTCAATATTATACATACAAGGACTAGTGTAGTTTGAAGTATACTCACATTCGGTAGTACGGGTAGTTCGACCGTGACTAGTTCGTGTGGGGGCACATCCGGTGCGGCGAGACGGACCGAGCGACCGGAAACACCTGATGACGTCACACGGAACTCCCCTCCCGAGAGAGGACGGTCCAGGGGGTTTACGAACGACAGAGAGGCGGCGGTCGGCTGGTTGATGATCAGGTCCTCATTGAACTGGAATATATTCAATAACATGAGATAATGAGTGATAAAAATCTAAGATTTTCGAGAGTTTTATTCATTTAAATGAAACCATTAAATTATTCTGATATACTACGCGACTTTATTTGAGAAAAAAACCGACATACTCCCGACGTTTCGGTTACTTTTCAGCAACCGTGATCACGGGTGGACGAGATCGCCTGTTAAAATATTAGTTTCATCATGAGATGTCTATTTTGACCGATTATTTTGTTTGGTATATTTATTAATCTGTCATAATTTTTCTGGGAAGTTAATCTTCTGATTTCCCCAAAAACATCTCATATCAAATCCGATGTAGCGATACTTTTATATTTATCATTCTGGAAGCGTTGCTTGGTAGATTTATCATGATCCGAATTATTGAATCTTATATACATTTGCATATAAATCCAAGTTAGTGTCTAATTGTTTCTACATTATTTTGGATGAGTTATATAGGTAAAAACAAGTACAATCATTATAATTCTCTACATATATTACTCAACGTATTATTTTATACCCATCATTAGCAAAAATTGTGTTCTATCAAAGGTTTTTGATATGATGCCGGTTCTTTCGCCGCTTCTTCTCAGGTCAGGGTATTTTTCTTTTCCGAACCGGTGGTAGTGTCTCAAGTGACCATCAATAAGAAAGTGTAATGCTTCTATATTGAATAAAGTTATTTGAGTTTGAGTTTGATGTTGCTTACCTTGATACTGATGTTGGGTTTGAGGATCTGGAAGTCATCGTCATCAGCCCAAGACTGTTTGGTCTCATCCACGATAGCCATAGCTGATATCTTCATGTTGCAGTACTCAACCAGTTTAGGAAGATACTCATCGGCTTGAACGTGGATACTTATCTCTTCGTCTGTTAATAATAATTGTATTAATTAATGAAAACTCCATTTTTGCTAAAGAAAGTATTTTGCAATATTTACATAATGTTGTCTTTTGATATACTTTACGGTGTTCTTTATAATAAAAGTAAATTCTAAGATGAAAGATTATTTTCGAAAAGGAAATGATAGGTAATTAAGTTAAGAAGTTAATCTTTGATTATGTATTATTTTTGGTTTTAAAAGTACTCGATTCATTTTTACTAAACAAACTTAGTTTTTTTATTGAAAGTGACAGTAGAAATAAATAAGATACTTACGTTTGTGAGGACCAACGAAAAGTTTTCCTTCGATTTTCTTAACGACGTCCGACTTCACACCATTGTAGAACACACTGGTCGCTGATAGAGCCGCTTTAATGTTACGACCCTGGACGATTAAAATTACACGAGTTATAAGAAATATAATATAATACAATAAAAGACGCCCAATGAAACAAGATAATTAATGAAAACAAATATTATAACGTATTCTATTTTAAAATCCGATTAATAATTTCAACTAAAATAAAATTGGTCAAAATGGAGTAAAAATAAGTATATAGTTGAGGTTGAAAGTATATTTAATGTGTTAGTATTTTCTTACTTCATCTGAATTATTGTCGATGTCCACAATCACTCTGAACTCTTTGCCGATGGTCACCGTGTCTATGTCACGCAACTTAAATGACACGTCGTTGGACAAGTTGGCGGCCACTGCATAGTATCTGAATATACAAAATAACATATATTATTTGAAATTTATCTTTTTTATTTTTTTAAATGTGGTACTTTTTAGTAGAGTAAGTGGCACTATTAGAAACCTTCTCAGCTCTAGCAGATAATACACAAAATGATTTATAAGCGATTATCCATTGCTTAATTGTCTTAATTGGAATATCTTCTACCATACACTTAATATAAATTTGAAATTATGGAGTTGTGTAATAATAAAAAAGCGTTTAGTAATATCCGAACAAATTAGTTTCATTAACTTGATATATTTTTTGCTCAAGCTAATATACCCAGGGCCGGGTTATGCCTGTCGGGGCCCCTAGGCAATGGTCATCCAGGGCCCCCTACCCTCTTCTAATTTTTTCGTTAACACAACAAAATTCAAAATTACACCGTTTTTTACTAACCTGGGTATATCATCATATTATTCAATAAAAATGTTGAATCAAATGAACAGAATGTTTATTTATGCATTTAAAATAAAAACATACATAGCTTAAATATTAACTCTTCTAACTTTTTTTGATACAAAATCGTTCAAGATATCCTGAAAGGTAATCTTCTCCAACACGTCATTTTCAATTGCCATTATAGCCAATGAATTTAAACGGTTTTGAGACGTCGTTGAACGAAGACAGGTTTTAATTAATTTTTTAAATTAAAATTGCTTGCAATTATATCACTGCGTTATAAACTTTTAAACTATAATAATAATCATAATAATAATATCTAATAAGGAATTCGTTCCGAAACGTACTAAAATAGCGTCGATGTAATGTACAGAGCAAATTTTCAAATTAATTTTTTACTGTTTAAGAAACATTGCCCATTCTTTTCCCTGTAGCACAGGGGCCCCTGAACGTGGCAGGGCCCCTAGGCAGTTGCCTATAATGCCTAATGGATAAAACGGCCCTGAATATACCACGTGAATGAAGTGTAGTTAGGTAGAGAGAGGAGCTTGGACGATTAAGGTGAGGGTTTAACGCGCGTTAGATAGGGACCCCTTAAACCTACATCTGGGTTACAAGTCCCAGTCACTGTTGAAGCTCCTCTCCTTACAACGATGGACCTGGCACTCGCACGGTGAATCCATTGAATGCTGAGAAGTTTCGTATCTTACCGTTTAGCCCTCTCAGAGTATCGTACACCATTCATGAGCGCGAGTCTCTCAGAAGCTGTTCCTTCACGATGTTTATATTGAACAGTGATGTCATCACGATCAGCGTCACCTAACGGGTCGAACACGTACGGCTTCTTTGTTAGCACCATGCGGCCGATGCTGAGGAAGAAGTATCACTTACAATATAAGGAAGAACTGCTTTATATTTTATACATGAACTATATTAGAATATGGAGAAAGTTAGATTAATATGATCGTCGTTTTATTTTCGACTTGACTGCTGCTTTGACAGAGTCACCGGGAGGAAATATGATATTGGTTTCAACTTCTTTGTATTAACACAAATGACAAATACATATATATATACATATATATACAAATGGGAATAATAAATAAAATAATGTATCAAATGGGAAGCTGAATAAATGAGAATTTTACAATAAGTCATTATATTAACAAAACTTTTCTATACATATATGTATATGCAATGAACAATTCATTTACTTCAAAAATACTGATCACGAATTTTTAATGTTAAGAAATAATTGGTATCCTCTTTGACCTTTATTTAGCATTAGGTTATATGGTATCCATTTAGAATCATTCGTAATACTTCTATAATTTATATCAAATTCATTAAGCAGTTCAATATATCGTCAGTACATATATTTAAGAATAAAATAGCGTTATACAATAATAATAAAGATTGATAATTATAAAGATCACTTACTGGTAATTGTTAGTATCAACCATAGAGAAGCCAGTTTCTGATTGAGGGTCGTGTCTCCACCTCATGAGGTCAGCGTTCACTGAAGCCAGCATGAACTCCACGTCATAGCTGAGGCCTATCACTCCTTGCTTAATAGCTTCTAGCGGCGCCGGACCACATTGATACATGCCTTGAGATGTTTCTTGGGGAGTAGCGTCTATTGCTTGCCAACCACCGTAACCTGGTGTATAATATATATTATTAGAAAACATAAACAAAAAAGAACAAAGAATATGAAAATATAATTGATTTTAAATGTATTTTTTTACAGGTGATGGATAAGATTTAAATACGAATGTGAGTATGCGATATATTTTAGTCCCCAAAAATTCATCGAATTTCTTGATCAATGAAACATGTTCTGATAGCGTACGCAAACATATTTATTAAAATAGCTAATGAAAATGTTTGATATACATCAAAAACATAATATTTAATAAAGAAATACTTAAATATTAATTAAATTCGTAGATAAAATTTAAAACATCGTTAAAATTATACTGATAAGTCATATCTATTTAAATCAACTCAGCTTTTCGGATATTACTCGTTTTCATTACCGTATAACTACAAAATCATATTAGGTTACGTAGTTACAACATAATAAAATACTATCATCCTCAAAGCTTAGTTTCAATCATTCAAGTATATATAATAGGTACTAGTAATTCCCTAATATATAATATTACATATAAAACAAGGTATATAAGGTATAGTAGAATATTAGACATGAAACAAGGAGTGATCAATCTTACCAGGTGGAAGATCAGGTCTTGCCATCCAGACGTCGTTCCACACGTGATAATTCCAGATGGAGTCAGCTCCTTGAGGGTTGTTAGGGTCTATATCAAGTTCTTCCATGGTCTCTGTGTAATACTTGTCCACTGTCAGCGAACTATTCGCGTCATGAGCTGACACCAAGTTAGACACAACCCTGGATGGCAACCCTAGCGCTCGGCACACTAGAATAACAAAAAGAGATTTATAAGCATATAAGTGGGAAAAATTAATAAAAATAATCTCTGTTACTCTAAAATATTCATTTATTTGATTAATATTAGTTTTAAAATACGATAATCCTTGATTTTATTTAATTAATTTTTATAGCATGAATAAATAACTGTCATCTTTAATAACTGAGCGTTTTATCCGGTTTAATAAATATTATTACTTATTCTTCCCCATACGATATTAATTTTAACGCTTTTTATATACCATCGATGTAAACATAAATAGTTTATTATCATTTACAAGTGAATTCTATTAAATATATCAGTTGTAATTCGTTGCAATCTAAGTGTTGCGATGACTGCTAATAATCTAATAAACAAGTAAATACGGTATTACTCGAAGCATCCAGGATTCAGATATTATGATAATATTATATTTGTATGAGAAACACGTATTAAATGTCACCGGCCGTTTAACGAGATGCCTTTTGTGACATATGATCATGAAGCATCAAGAGTACGTGAAGAACAGATTAGTACATGTTGACAAATGATAACGAAAAACTATACACCGACAGTTTAAAAGTATTTCATTCTTATCACCGTATAATCGTATGAATGTAGATAGATATGAAAATGTTGGTGCTTGGGTGAAAATCTTTTTTTTTGTAACATGGAGTTAGGTACATTATACATTATTACTATAAATTGTAAGCCATAGTTCACAGTTCATGCTAAGCATACAAACACAACAAACTAATTTAACATCAAATGAAATCAAAACGACAAATAGATAAAGAAAGTCGAATTTAAAGGTGAAAATAATTAACCCAAATATTTGCAACCATATTATAGCTTGTAATATGATCAGGAAACGAAAATGGTGTTCATATAGTGATATGAAATCACATTTAAAAACAAAACAAAAATTAGAAAAAACAGTCGAATTTGTTGATCAAAAATAATGTTATTAAAAATAATGGTCTTTATAATTTGATATGAAATCATAACGAAAGTTAAAAAGACCAGTCGAATTTAAAGGTCAAAATAATTGACCCAAATATTTGCAAGCATATAGCTTGTAACATCAGTAATATATCATGAGAGTCGAATTTAGAGGTCAAAAAAAGTTATCCAAATATTCGGAACCGTATGTATAGTTTATAATATCAGTGCTCTATCATGAAATACGATATCTCACCGGTAGTAACGACCCCCGCGAAGACCCAGCACTGCCCATACATAACGGGCGCCTGTATCTCCAGATACTGCGCCAGGATGTCCACGGAGCCGGTCCAGTCAGCTGGCGCGGTCCCATCCTCATACTCACCATCCCATCGACCCACCAGGACCCCGTCATCATCGTTGGAATTCACGATGCGAGAGAGAACGCGGCTCATCTTGATTGGATCACCACGCCTAAGTTAGAGTTAGAGTTACATTGAGGAATATGCGCTAATTTACGAGGACTATATTTGAGAAAAATGGGGTAATTTACGGAAATTTGGACTACGTTTGAGAAAAGTGGGGTAATTTACGTAAATTTGGGCTATATTTGAGAAAAATGAGCTAAAATTGACAAAAATGTGCTATTCTGTTACAGTATGCTCCATATTTAATAAAATAATTGCATATCCATAGAAATAAACTAGTAGTATACTGAAATGATTGTAATATTTTAATGGTGCTAACTCTAAAGGACGATTTCAGAGAGAAATTCAATCATCGAAACAATTCATATACAACTAAATATTTATTTAATAAACCCGATGTCACTTGATTTGAGATGATAACATTTTGAAATGATTTAAGTCTTTGTTTTTTATAAATTGATAATACGAGATGTAAAATATGTGAGTATATCAAGCCGCGAGGTCAAAAGGTCTTCGTAAATTGGCCCTCAATTATTACGATAATCTATAATTATGTAGATACAGCTCCGGTCACCACACAGTTTACATTTAAATCACCGAATTATATATTCTTGTTCGCCTTGATATGATGCAGGCGTGTTATATTTTGGGGCTGATTATTGTAAAAACTTCATGCTTAGAGATTACTTTTGTTATTGACGGGATCCAAACATTATTGTTGTGATAATAAAGTTCTTATTAAAAACTAATAGCACTTCAATAAAGTCTATTGATATTTAAATATATTTTTAATTTCCTCGATCACTTTTCTGAGATTTTGAACACTATACTGGAGACTCGTGTCATTCATTCGCGAAGCTGATCACGACAATAGAATGTTCGATCTAGTTGATTTTTATTTGTTCGATAGCAAAGTTGTTTAGGTTTCTTTTTATAAAAATAAATAAATAGATTGGATTACCAATCTAAATTTTAGAGCCGGAAAACGGAAACCATGAACCCATATCCCAAAAACGGTTCAATACAAAAACACTGAGGTCCCTACACTCAACTAGCACCAAGAGTTATTTTTCTAGTACACCAAGACCAAAACGAAAAAGTGCATCTCGTAGACCAAACATTTGTCTGGTGAGAAATGTTCTATTAATGTAAATAAATAGTTACTCACTGGTGGAAAGGTATTCCAGCCTGATCCAACATGAACATAACAGATGGCAGCACCACCGCGTCAAATTGTCCGTAGAACCACGGCTTTCCACGCGTGGTCTTGATCGGTCCCACCCACACCTTACCCACATCATTCATCACATACTCCTGTAGTAATTCACACTCCTCCATATACGTCTGGTCATCTAGGAAGAAGAAAATTCGTTGAGTCATTTATCAAGACTTATTTTTCCTCATGTATTAGATTATTAGTTATACAAAAGAAGACTTTATACTATAGGAAATAGATAAACATTTTGCATTTGAATCGAATATTCATTGTTCACTCCTGTCTTCTTGGATGGAAAAAAAAGACAATTGAATTATACAATTTTGAAGAAACATACACTCTCATAGAAAAAATCATTTTACTGCTATTATCCTATGCTCACCAGGGTTCCACGGGTTGAATAGAATGTATAGATCGTTCTCGTAGTCAAATATCTCTCTCGCTGGTGAACCCTTTAGTCTGGTCACAACTCGAAGAGCCCAGTTACCGACGGGTAACGTTACTGGGGTTGATACCTAGAGAAAAACAGACATCGTAGTGGTTAAGTATAAAGAATCTTAAACATAAATACGTTGTTCATTATAGTTATAATTTGAATTAATTATAAAATTTGAAGTTTCAAAGTTCTGTAAAAGTAACCTCCTAACTGATGGCACTTATAGTAAGTATCTTATACGTCATCGGCCTATCAGAGCCCACGGCTGAGCAAAGGTCTCTTCTCACATACGAAAGGTTTGAGCATCACTACGCCTGTTCAATGCGGGTTGGCGATTTCAAAGTTATTAGGTATTTGAAATTATAAATCCAGGTTTCCTCACGATTTTTTCCTTTACCGTCAATCAGTGGTGTCTAAATACTGTTAGAGAGTACATGTGACTCGAAAAATCACTACTTGCGAAGTTTTGAACCCACGTCCTCATGCATGAGAGGCGGGCTTTTCACCTCTATACCACCACGACTACCTTATAGTGAGTTTATCCAAAAACAAATAAAACTAGTTGGAGACAGAATAAACATAGTAAATAGGCTGTTACTTAGTTAATTTTCTGTGCCTGCAACTTCATTAACATCTACCAACAATAGGAATGACAGTCAAGCAATATCCAGTCGAAAAAACACAGAAATCGATACAAAAACAATCAAATAACTATTTTATTTTAATGCTTATATGGTTTCTAGAGATGAGATGAGATCGCTTCGTGCAATAATTTAACATGTTAGAATACAAATAATGTATCCTATAAAAAGGCGGCCGTAACCTTTGTATGATGGGAGAATCTTTGTTAATTAATTATACTTTTTATGCTTATTAATTATTCACATGAAATGAATGTATAACTTCATATACATAAATATAATTGTTCAATGGAACTCACTGTAATTACCGTTACGAATGTGGATGATCTTGAAGACAATGCAAAGATATGATATTTTATATAAATTTATAGTTCTGTAATGGGACAGGAAATCGTTAAAAATATTAGTATATGATTAATCTTAAAAATTTTATTAGAAAAATATACACGATTCGCATATTATATATATTTTTAAACCTTTAATATGTGAAAAATAATAATCTTTGCAAAAATCGTGTTCTAGCAAATATTATATGAAGATTTGTTGTTAATATTATTCAAGTTATAAGCGACGGAATAGTTACATTTAAATGTTTTTTATTGTATCATCATCATCAGCCTATTAACGCCCACTGCTGAGCATAGCCTCTTCTCACATGGAGAAGGTTTTGAGCATTAATCACCACGCTTGCTCAAGACGGGTTGGTGATTTCAAATTTATAATTGTGAAACTATAAATCCAGGTTTCCTCACGATGTTTTCCTTCACCGTATGTCAGTGGTGTCTAAATACTCTTAGAAAGTACATATGATTCGAAAAAATCACATTGGTACTTGCCCGGGCCAGGATCGAACCCGCGCCCTCGGCGACAAGAGGCGGGCTCTTTAACCACTGAGCCACCACTGACTTCATTTTTTATTGTATATACATATTGTATTGTATTAAAAAATCATTTGCCATTTTCTTAAGAACACCATTATCGTATTTTATTAATGCAAACTGTCAAACTGACAGTATTAAGTTAAAATGAAAATCCATAGTACCTACTATCCCACTTCTACGTCTGCCAGTTTCCTAATATGTATATATAATGTAAGATTTAAATATTACTCAAACGGATATAGGGAAATCCTAACTTCAAATGCCTAATTATAATTCAGGTCTCGCTATAGGATAAGACCTAACCTCGCAGCGACATTTATAAAGATATATTTTGATTTTAAGACACGTAAAAAACAAGGAAGTCTGTACAATTTAGTCGTGTCCAATTAGTTTATAACTCACATGTGTACAATTAAAATATATATTTTTTAATTCAACTTATTCAAAGACGGTAAAGTAATGCCTAAATATATTTTATAAAATTCAATTCGGAATATTATTTTCAATCTCATAATTTAAATATTATACATATATAAAATAATTAACATAGAATTGTAATTAATTACTTGCAACCATTCATTCATTCTATTAACACGCAGCCAAAACGTAATGTACATTTCGGCAAAAATCAAACGAATTAAGTACTTGTATTCTAAATACAGTTTGACAAATATGGTAACACATTCTATTATTCTAAACCAATATTAAGTGTCGGTATATAATAAAGAAGTATTAATATTCTTATAATATATTGTATTCATATTTAAAAGCCTCCCTTCAGCTACCGACGAGTTATACTTGGCTTAATGAGTGTTAAATAATCGTTTAAGAGCATAGACAATAGGCTTTGTTTTGAAACTACACGTTGACGCCTAATGTCAGGATGACACATAGTGCTTTTTTTATTTAATATTTTTAGTTCCCTTGTGATTCAAAAATATCTAATATTTTTCAAAGCGCTTTTGATTACACGATTCTAAAATACATTTCCGAAGTTTTTCCAATATTAAAAACAAATGTATTTATTATTTTGATTGTTATTGATCTTAGATCGGCTGTAAACCTGTCTTATGACTCGAAAACACATGTTTTTAATCAAATATATTCATTGATTTGTATCTAAAATTAAATCTCAAATTTTCCTAAATATACCTTCACATTTTTATTTATAAAATTACTAGAAGACCCGGCGAACTTCGTTTCGCCCTATAATCAAGAAATATCTGTTACGTTTTTTTATTTATATTTTTGGAGTTTACCTATTAAAGCCATAAATCTCCGTGTTTTGAAGTGATTAGGAATGATTAATAGTTAATATGAGAGTTACACTGAGCTAGCAAAATAATAATTGTCAACGTTACTACTACACTTGATGCACAAACAATAACGATGGCCGACAACTGTGTAGGGAGTGAGAGAAGTCTAATTGTGTGAGAGAAACAGAAGACCGGCTTCGTTCTCATCCCTACTCCGTGCTGTTTACTGGGTCAGAAGTGACACCTGTAGATATCTGGCGGGGATAACTTATTAAATGACGATTGATCAGTTATCGACCGGAGATGAAAAATGATTAAATTACTAAAATAGCTATTAAAAAATAAGGGTTGATCGTAGAAGGGTGAAAATTTAGGATTGTATGTATTTTTGTACGTTGTATCATAAAAAAATAGTAATTAAAAATTTTGTCTAAAAAATAAAAAAAAATAATTTAGGGGTGGACTACCCCTAACATTTAGGGGGATGAAAAATAGATGTTGGCCGATTCTCATAGCTACCAAATAAGCACAAAAAATTTCATCAAAATCGGTCAGGTTGTTTCGGAGGAGTATGGGCACGAAAACTGTGACACGAGAATTTTATATATTAGATGTAAAAACATTCTCGTGTCATGTCAAAATACCAAATAGGTTCTATTAAAGATAACGAATGTGTTAGCAAACGTGAATAGGATTATAAATTATTAAAAAATGACCAATTTAAAATCAAAGGTGACCGAATGACATACAAAATCGCATTCTTAATATACAATTCGTTTTGCGTCTTGTTACTACATTATTCAATAAGCTTTTTGTATGTCAAATTAAGTGACAGGTGACGTATTGTTTTTTTTTAATGAAATATTAAAAAGCACATAACTTAAAATGGCGGACAAATTGTAATACTTAAAGTAATTTATCGTCTCTTAATATTGAAATGTTTTATTTAATACGAAAACAAAATTATAACGTCGATGATGATATTTTAAAATAGATTTTGGCAGCGGATAAAACTGTATCATAAGTTAACTCGGGAACTGTGGTCATGATCAGTTTAAGAATGGAATTCTATCATGCTAATAATGTTATTATAATAAACAATAAAAACTTTTTAAATAAAACCTCTTTCTACTAAAACATTAAAATTTCATTCCAGTCAGTATTTTTTTAAATATTTCGTTAGATAAATCAATATATTAAGTAACCTATTCGCAATATATTGTATATAATGATATTTTTACCTCAAAGTTCATATGAATGTCGTCTACGCTGGTGATTTTGGCGCTCCAAGAATATTTGTCTGATACCACATCTCTTCTTAAGAACATGGATCCTTGTGTGTCGTGCATCGGCTTGTCACCTTAACAAAGTTCAATAATAATGACAAACATTAATAATACTTATTTTTTAGTATGAAAAAAGATTGTATTTGTATTAAATATTTGGTTAACACAATATTGTAGTACTCTGTCATATCAAAATAAGAAATAAAAAACAAAACGCTTTTATGTATAGGTACATAATGCAGATAATTTTTGTAAGCAAAATATTAATGTATGAAATGCATATAGTTTAAAAAAATCAACTAAAATTATTTCCAAATTTGAGACCATAGACAAGGAAATTATAGATTATTTTTTTACATTGTCTATTATTAAAATACCAAAGACAATTTTCTTTTCTTTCTCACCTAATGTAAACACAAGTTGCACTGTATCTTCCTCTTCGACTATGGGTCTGTCAAATCTGATGACTCCATTGAAAGGGTTGCCGCGACGAAGAACAGCTATGGTTGGCACCTCGTCGTTCACTACTTCGTATCTATAGTTTTAATAATGTTATACTGATATTTGTTTAGCAATTACTATAAACTGAGAGTAATATTATGTGTTCAAGTGTATATATATGGTTGTAAATATATGTCTGTCATACAAATTTACCTAAAACATATTATATGCTTTTTTATTTATATAATATATACAAAGTAATCTTTATATATTTCGTACATCTTGACGATTTTTGAAGATATTATCGTTTTAATATTGATTGTATTGAATGTAGATTTGAAAACTTTGCTTTGCTTTGGATACTTGGTTTTTAAGCATTTTTATTTACTGTCAATAAATGTTATTAAGCAAACATTACAAATTAATTTCAATAACAATACTCGACGAAGAGTTATTTTAATGTCTTAGTATCTGTAGATCTGTTTATATGTATGCATGTGTGTGTGTGTGTATGTACATATGTTATGTAGTTTCTTATAATATACAACATACTTGATGGTGTTGTGTGCTTGTGCGTTCTCTCTGGGATAGAAGTGAACAACATCCACTTTCAGAGGTTCCATCTTGTTTTTATCTGAAACAAAGAAGTATATTAAATAAGAATAATTAACACCCATTTATCTTTATGATCGTGGTTGCTGTAAAGTTACTGAAACATCACGAGTATGTAGATATAAAATAATAAAAAAAAACGCGGAATATCCAAAAAGCATAGTTTAATTTTAAATATTTATTTGTTCTTAATTATTCTTACTAGTAACAAATTAAACTTTTCATTAATAAACAATATATATTATATAATATTAAAAATATATACAACGCATCATATATATGTAAAACATTTAATTTAATATTATTTATGAGTGAGTTATAGCCGTGGAGAAACCATTATTTACTTAACAACAATTACAGCTTTTAAAACATTGACGGCTCGATGAATAATCTTTTAACGTGTATATTTAAATAAGACGGATAGACATTTGTTTATTACAGATTATAATATAGATATGTACTTGTTGGCTGTATGTTTAGGATTATGTTTTTATTTTTAAACTGTAATTTAGTGTTTTTTTATTTATTGTTTACAAATATGGATATATGTAGTTCTATTTCTTTCTTTTTTTTATTGTGTCTTTTTTATATAGTACATATTTTGTAATAATCTAAGAATTTTATCCGAGATAATATTATATATTTAAGTCTAGATATTTAATATACAGGGAAGCTTATTTTCATAAAGTTTTTATTTTTATATTCAACTTTCGTCATGAATATTATACAGTACACAATCTCTTACTTATTTCAATTAAAAAACCTATTTTTATATTGAATATTAACTTACAAAAGAATTACAAATTCGTGAACTTCGGAGTTAAGTGAAAGTTTTAAAATATTTATATCACTTATCTTGAATGAAAATTGAATGAATAAGTTTTTTTTCTATAATACCTCAAGACCTTATTGACTTAAAATATATTGAGCAGATTTTAAAATGATTTCAATTGTTAATTAAAAATAAAAATATAAGCAATATTTTAAAATAATACATCCATTAAGTTTTTCGTGTTGAATTGAAATTACTTCAATTTTCAAATTCCTTTGACTATAGTTTCATTACAGTATTTTTTTACAGGTTACAACTACTAACTACTAAAGCTTCTTTAATTTATGTTCTAAAATACAAACTCCAGACCACAAGCTTGAATTCAGCCCGAACGTGGATAAAAAATACAAAACCACATTGACCTCTTTTGTGGAGCTTAAAACATACTTGCGTTTAACTTCCGTTACTGGCAACTTTTTAAATACAAAAAAAAAATAATAAGGAAAAGCTTGACTTGAAAATCATTATCTAATACGACAAAATAAATTTTATTTACATGATGAATATTTATTATTTTTAACTAAAAAAGAATTTTCTAATTATAAATCAATTATATTCGTAATTCACATCAAACTTCAATCAAAAATAATTACCCATACGAAACTCTTAAAAAGATATAGCAAAGAAAAAAAAAACAGAACCAGTTAATAATTTGCATACACGATCAACGAAATTTATTATCGAAACGTGTACTATTAATATGTAAATTTGTCATAACGAATATATAATATTTTTAAATAAAAAAAATAAATTATTTTCATTAATACCTCTTTGCTGTCACTACACAAAAATCACAGATCCTGGCTGACGAGACGAAATGCACAATTTAAAAAAAACTATTTTAATGTGGAATGGCGCGAATCACAAGTTCGACTGACGAGTCGGAGCCACACTCGGGGTATATCTACGGATGCGCGTGCGTCTTCACTCCCAATAGAGAGACCATGATGTATATTAAATTATTATGGATATAATATATCTCAAATAATTTCTACTCTTTGAAATATTTTACCCTCATAATCTGAAAATATTAACAAACTAACCAGTAATAATATTTTAAGTCTTGAAAAAATTTCAATTAAAAAAATCAAACTGTTTATAAAAAATATAATCTCGCAACTTTTTTGTTAATGTTGAAGTAATATTTTATATTTTTAATTCGCACGTTTGAGCGTAACTACTTATTTTTGTCTCATATATTTTAAATATATTGATGTTTATTTTCCTTTTACCCAAAAACTAATTCACATTTTTTCATGAATTTTACCATTCATGTAGCCTAAGTATCAGAATAACACCTAGTTTACAATTATTCCAAAAATTTCCTGTGATTACTTAATTTAAAGTTATATTGTGTATAAAGCCAAGTTACATACTATATATGACAATACCAGTTAGTTTACAATGGCTACTTTATTTAAGCATCTGTATATTATTAATTTTCCCCTGAACCCAATTCCATTCAGACAAAGTTCTATTAACTAGTGAATGGTAATAAATTAATTGCGCGTTGATTAAAACAAACTTTTCAGTGCACATAGAGTTCCATATTATAATACCCCTCCTTTCAGGAGACGACGGCTTTAATATATGGATTGTTGAATAAAAAAAGTTTGTTTAAGTCTCTATGCTTTTAGTATTTATTTCTTTAATAACTTCAATGTCCTTACAAACCATAAAAAAACTTATCAATAGATACATATAAATTAAAAATACATTCAAGGATTAATTAATTACAAATAAATAAATTAGTCCTTATTATATACTAAATCATGGTGAATCTACCAAAAGCCGTGAAATTCACAAGTTCCTATAAATAAATGATGTGTTTGTAATCGCGAGTGTTTCCCAAAGGCCGAGAGATGAGACGCGTCACTGTTACGTAAACAACAAAATATTCAATCATTATCATATCGTGTAATTAAAATATTATCATTATCATATCATACAATATATTTTTCTATCCAATATATTTTGGTCTCTGGATGGATCTTATTAGAGCATTGACTTCTAGATGTCTTAATTTAGGTAGAAACAAGATGGCGTTTAATATTACAAGTGATAATTATTTGCTTTTGATATATAATTTATAATTGATATAAATCGTTCTCTTGTCAGTGTTATTATTTTTAATTTATAGTTCTTCTTATATGTATAGCACATATATAATATTATCTCTTTAACGAAATTTCTTACCTAAATCTAGGTACTTACACATTGGATACATTATCGTTTCGCTGTAAGAAATTGTAATTTTTTTATATTTATTGTAACTTATATTAAATATTGAGAATATTTCTCGGTTTCTATAAAAGTTTATTAATCAATCGAACTTCTCCTACATATATTTGTTAATGATTATTATTTTAATATAAGGGAGACCGATAATAAAACAGTTTTAACTATGTAGACGGCCCCATAATATTCGATAATTATTACAGGTATCTAAAAATATATGACGTCAAAACAAAAAAAGCCTAAATTATAAAAACGGGAACACATGAATCGGAAATATATAAGGATTCGATGAAATTGATCTAAATCTATGGAGCTATTCATGTCTTTATCTTATTGGATAATTTAATGTTTTTAAATAAAATATATATACTTATTACTTCTTTGGAATAAATAAAGTATAAAAATAAACATGATTTTAGCATTCAATATACTTGGAATCAAAATATTTATTTGTCATATTTATAAAATAGGAATACCGTTAAAGTCATTTTGATGACGTAACAGTTGCTTGTGACATTGACGTTCCAGGAATAATGAATCCATGTCACGTCATTGAGTGGTCATCGCGAAGGTCCTATTCAACGGGTACGTGACATTGAACACAGCGTCACTCTTGTGACGTTGTTGGGCAATGACATTACACGACCTTGATCTATTACTGTAATTATGTCTTATAATATTTATAGATAGCTTAGAAACTTTGTATATATAAAACAATTTATAGCAATATCAGTTCAATTATGTAATTGTTTGGTTGTGAGCTTTATAATAATTATATTTGAGTACTAGCCAATTGATAGTGAAATTTGAGTCAGTCTATAAGTGATGTAATGTAAGTTCCCTTTTAAGTATTTATAGCCGTCTACAGTTAGTAATTACGAGTGATATCTATATTATTCTCGCTATTTGAGTCATCCCGATCTTCAAGCCTCTTACGTTAGTGACGTCACACTTATGACGTTAATTTGTATGTAAGTCATTGTTAGTTAACATGAATTCTATAATAATATATTTTTTGTCCTTTAGGATTTCTTCTATATATCATGTATGTTGATTTTTGAGTATCCGTAATTATAACTTGCATTTTACTTATGTATATATTTTTGTATAAGTACATACATGATTTTTCTTTAATTAATTTTAAAGATTTTTTGAAAACCCATTTACATAGTATGGATAAACATTCTGATATAATCTATCAATATATTTTATATAATAAATAATTGTAACTGATCATTCCAGTTTCCTGTTGACCGAATTTGTGTGATAACATTATCTAAGAGAGTTAAAGTTACAGGTTTGTACGGTGTACGTGAGTCCTGGAAGTGTCAATTTCACCTCCCATTTGATACCAAATAAACCTTGATAGATCTAAATGTTTTGAGTAACCTCATTCCTGGCAACAGACTTTAAAATCTCCATAAATTACATCATTTGTCATCTAGATCGCTTCTGTTGTTTTTTTTTAGTTTATAAATTAAATATGTGCTATATAACTCTTCTTTAGATTTTAAAAGTAGAGATAAAATGTTACTAAAATAACCATAATTTCACTGCATATGTTACATAGTAATTTATATTTATAAAAAAAAACAGCTTTCCTCTAAACATATACGGATGTATATAGGACACCAGCAATAAAACTGTAGTTAATAATTTTAAATTTTTGTCCATATGTTTTTCGGTTTATTTGTTATTCATCTTCAGATTGGATTGACAGATTGTGCCGGACTTTTTCTTGAAAGTAGTCATAAGGAATAACTTAGGAATTTCAAACAGGAGGAAGAATAAAATTCAATTTTCTGTTTTTTTTCCTTCAATTAAAAGACAACTTTCCTTTTTTCATTTTCCTGAAGTTCCATTATCACCAAAATCAAAATCTGATCAAAAGTTTTTAAAATTCGATAAGAATTATATCGTTTATCCTAAAGAGGATTTACT